TGATATGTGAAATTCAAGCACTTAGTTGTACAAATGCTGCTGAGTGGGCAGACTACAACTAGAGTCACAACCTTCAATCTCCCTTGGCCTTATGAAATAAAAAAATCTCTGTTTCCGGTAACTCCATATACCCATTTTTTGGGGGGGAAAAATAATATATTTGTTAATGTACTTAAAATTATTTATTTAAAACTAAATTAGGTATGGTCAATTGCATTATAGTTTTTTATTTCACGTACTTTCTGATAGGTAAAAATCAAACACTTAGTTGTACTGATGAGAATATTTTGAAAACCAACTTAGATGTCTTTTTTCACATGATTATGTTAAACCTTGATTGCGTTATATATACGTAAGTAGCGCCCGCTAGTGATGAAATGCCTCTGTTAGCGGATTTGTTTGTCATTTAAACTATACCAAATCATTGTAAACAACGTCCCTTGCATCCAACTATGTCACCGAAGTGTGCGACTTACAGAAACATTAAATTTGGAAACATCTCGTTTTGCCATTTTATTAGTTTTTAATCACTAGTGCAATGTGAGTGTTTTGAAATATTTGCTATATCACAAAGCATCGTACAAATTCACCAATAATTCAACGACTTCTTTTAACAATCATCCTATGACAATTTTTTAATTATGCATTGATATAATATATTAAAAATTCAAAAAAATGGCAATATTGATTGGGTATAATAAGTATTATATTATACAAGTATATTGATGGTGTTAATCCATTGATTTGATTGGTTCAAACACAAAATTTGCATATGCAATCCATGGTATATTGGCTGTCCCGTAGCGGTGCTCGAATTCAAGCTGACAAAATTGCAGTGAAATTGCACCCGGGTAATTGCCATCTGTTTCATAGAACACGGGACAACCCAGGATTCGACGACGATATATGGTATTGTAATTCTCCACTATGGGTAAATACATTACATGAGATGATGAAGGTAATTTCGAAAGCTACAGATTTGTGCCGAGTGCACACCAACCACTGTATTAGAGCGACGGCGTGCAAAGTCTTTCTTTCGGACGGAGTTGAGACAAGGCATATCATGTACGTGTCACAAAAACGATGCGACAATCTGATCTTACACCATCACACTTACGCCAGAACAACGACAAAACTTGTCAGTCATACTGTCACAAAACTTTGGTTATACCAAAGGTATCCAGGTCAGATGTTGGAACTGAGGTCGCCGTACATGACACACCGCGTCCCGCCGCGTCTCAAATTTCGGTCGAACCAAGTACCACTGAACGTCAAATATCCACATTTACAAGTAGTATAATGAGTCACAAAACCGGTTTATTTCACAACTGTACATTTAATGGGCAAATTACAATCCAAATTGAACAAAAACCGGAATGAAAACGAGGAAAATCCGTTGTTTTAATGTCCCAAACTGTACACGACCCTGTATTTCAAATCACGTTAACGCTGTCAGTAAAAGGTCAGAAAGGTTATCTTTTGTTATGGTAATTTGTGTGTTTACGCTACTCTATTCACCGTGGATACGTTTCTTTTTCATGCGGAAGAAAAATTAGTTTGTATTCAATTTGAACTGTGTTGCGCATGTAATTTTTGTATGCATTCAGCGTACAACTGCATACTATTCTTATAAATATTCAATGTTCAAGGGCCATAATCAGTAGATGAAAGTAAACTCTTTCTTTACTAGTTTTATCGAATTGTCAATATACTGGTATAATATAAGAGCAATAACCCCCCCCCCCCCCCCGCCGAAGTTGGGTATACCATTTGATATTGCACAATTCACTCCATATATGCACTCGCCTGCGGCTCGTGCATATATGTCGTGAATAGTGCATTATCTCGTGGTATACCCGCCTTCGGCGGGAGTTATTGCTTAAATACTAAACGCATACTTAATGTCAGCTTCCTTTATTTCATGTTTTGTGATATTACCTCAAACCCTGCAAATGGAAGTGTGCATGGAATCATGGGAAGAAACGGTGTGCATTGTGCAATCTGTCATAAAGGTGATTGACAGGTCATACTTGTATTCAACTTTGGGAGGACAGTGGGTTCGACCAGGTGTGCTTGTAATTTACATAACAACGGGTGTTTACAACTTGAGAAGTTTGAATAACAAAGGATTTTTATGATCTACTGAGTTGCCTAAGCGACACAGCTGCTAGCAAGATTACATTCTGATTGGATCATGGGGAAACCCAGATGGTGCCACTGCCTATAAATTGGACAGACTCAGGACAGTTTGGAGCTCGTCGATCATTTCAACTTGGTGTCCGTCACTTCAACTTGCTTACCTGTGTGTTCTGCTACGATACGATATTACAGGCTACAACCATCATGCTGTGGGACTTGTATGAACTGCTCTTCAATCTCCTGCTTCCAGCGGTGCCCTCCAGAATACCAGCGTTTCTCTGCAAGCAAGACTCCAGTATTTTTTCGTTGTTGTGTTATCACCAATGAGAGTTATCCCTAAGCAATCCCCTATTTTAGTGACTTTATTCATTGTATTTTTCTGTGCTTTATTTCTTGTAATTATTTTGAGAGGTATTAAAGCCAGGAGCTTTAACTCGATATTTTGGCGTATGTGCATTTCATTTCCAGTACTATTGTCTTGTCAAACGATTACTAGCAGTGAAAGAACCCCGTGTCCAGTGTGAGTTCCGTGGGTGGCCCTCTCAATTGTGATAAGCAATTACTGTGACTGATAGTATTGTGTCAAAATGGTACATTGGATTTTTCTCTAATAACATGGTAGACATCATCACCACGAGAAGAGTATGACTTGGGACATACACGGTCTACATACAATAAATAACCTTTGACATAATTATTAGCTTATGATGTCACCACAAGAATATAAATCAATTAAATGACACATATGAGCAATACATTTGTTTTGAATAGACCAATACTACTTGTTTTATTTTTCGACACGAGTAATTGGACGAATATGGTCAACTTTTAGTTGAACTACAGGCTGCTGTGTTTGAACACTTTAGGTATATTCAAGATACCTATAAAAAAAGACGCATATCAACAATAAATTCCGATTGTATATACCGATGAAGTATTGTAGTAGGTTCAGAACAAACCCGATAGATTCCCCTTACGATCAGCAATATGCGTTGTCGGCTCGACTCTCCCTATGACTGACCTTGTCTTTGTACATCAAAATAATTATTCCATTAACGCCAAGTGAGTATACACGGCAGCTAGGATTTCACGTTCAAGGGGATTGATTTTGTTTTAAGGTGCGGTCGCCTCTCGTGCATGCGGCAGACAGACATATCGAGTCGTTGTTTACAAACAAGCATCTATTCGTGAGTCTTTCAGCATGCGTTGTTATCGTCGCTTGGGTTTCAATCCCTCGCATGCGCAGGTGACGATTCGTCTGCTTTGAAATTAATATACCATTGTAAAATCAGTAAGAGGCGTCATGTCATCTATGTCGAAATGAGAAGTGGATTATTTGCCGATCACTGCTACATACCCTTATTTGGTGTCTGTACATCGCATTTAGTCCCGTTGGTGATTGTTATTATGCATGACTAGAAGTTAAAAGATGGCTTACCGAGTATCAAGTCTATCTCCCAATAACTGGAGAATATAATAAAAAACTACGTCAATAATATTATAGAGAGATTTAACACCAACTTGTGACCAAGTGTTATCATACTGTGACAACCTATCAGATTTGTCATGTAATATATGTATCCATTCATCAAATAAGTAATATTTACGATTTAACCGTAAGTAATTGTGCCACAATTGTTTGTTATTAAAAACAGAGATCCACCATTTTGTCGGGTAGGTATCTCGGTTTGCTTGGCAATACGATGTTTATACATGTTAATATTAACACTGTTGAAAAGATATACTCTACCATTTTTAGTGGGGAATTCCTTAGTATTGAGCTAAAAAGGTTGAATTAAAATATACTTTCCATGTATCAACCATTTCAGTGAATCACAGGATTTCAACAGTGTTCAGTTTTTGCATTTTTGTTTCAGAGTATGAAATCTGAAATCTTGAATCTTATATTTTGGTTTGGAGAATACAGAGGCGAAACGTGTCTTTGTATTATATATGTTACTGTGATTCACATTATCAATACGATATCATTTTTTTTATTATAATATTTTTCTCATTTGTAATCTATATTTGGATTGACTGTATTTTTTTAGTCGAGTATTCATGAACAATCAGGAAAATATTAAAAACTAAACAGATCGAATTGGATTGTCAACCCTTAAGTGAGTGAGTGATTTTTCTATCTGCCAATTTACTATAAAATTGTGTTTAGAATTTTGTATTAATTATTTTTACATGAGGACATGCAACGCATTGTCATCTAGTTACATTATTACATAAATGTGTCGTTGAAAAGGCGTGTTGAGGAATCCATATAAATAAACAAACAAACAAACAAACAAAGATTGACGCTTCAGGTATTTGTTTATTTAAAAGATTCGAAAACAACATGAAAATAAGAAAAAAATAATAATAATCTATCAATAATATGAATATATTCTCCATAATATATTCTCATTGTTCCTTCTATTTTTTAATCCATTACACGATATTTTCTGGTAATAGTTTTGTTGTCAGAATATTCGATATATACATAGTCCTGGGTTAAATTATACATCAGATTTTGAAAACAATTATAGTATTACGGATATAAAAAAAAGGCGAAATTTAATTCTACTTCCCGATAATTTGAGTTTTCTATGCTTAAAAATGTGTCAAAAAATAGAAGCTCTGTACTTCAGAGTGTAAATTCAAAATTCAGTCGTTATAGCAATTTTGCAGGACCCATGTGGAAATCGCTCATACACCACTTTTCGGGCGCCGGTAAATACACTGTATTAAAATAATCACGAGGATTTCACGACGAGTCTAATTGATTCGAACAGTTTTCAATGGTTATAGTTGTTATATCATTGCTTCTCCCCCACCTCCCTCATACGGTTAACCAGAGTAACACAATACTGCTAACAGCATCTGTTAGTGCGTGGGTGTTGGATCGTTCGTTCCAGCCCGTAAACCACCGTTGTCGTCGGTTCAACTGTTGGTTCTGATTTGGGAAGTTTTTTTACTGTAATATGAGACAGAAACAAAAACGGTAATATTAAATGATATATCCGATATTGAGAATAAATTATATAATTCTAAATTAATATTATTGTAACCCAGCCTGCCCAACAGTAATAGTTATCACTTTTTTAATGCATATTATTTTAAAATCGCACAATAACAATATATAACGTCTTGTTTGTGAATAACCTGCTTAATGTGATTACATGGAGTATTACATTTGGTAATGAGATTTTCATGGATGAATAGAAAACAAATACAACAGCGTGACACAGTTTTCAAAAGTAGGACATGCCGTGATACAAATCAAAACAAGAAAATTATTTACCAAAGCATTGTATGAGAATATGACGAACTACAAAAACAACAACAACAACAAATACAAAAAGTGAAAATAAAAAATACATATAACAAATACAATAGAACGCAATTGAATACGATCGAATACTATACATACAATACAATTAGGCTAGTGCAAGAGTTACAAAACATTAAAGGGCGGTGGTCGACGCGCTGCGCACGTGCGACGTGTGTGTTGATAAATATTGATTTTCCCACAATACAATGCGCTTTTCTAATGAAAATCACAAATATGAGGTTTGACCTGGGCGCGACTTGCACAGATTGCCGCCGGAGACTCCTTCGAAACCTTCCAATCACCTACAATTATTTCCTGATTAAAGCTTGGTCACGTCTCATTTTGTACTCGTTGATCTGCGCAACAGTCAAAGTCCCCATCCTTGTTTATATGAGACTCGTATGCCTCGCGCATGCGTGGCGCGACGATTTCCACCCTATAAGAATTGCAGAAACCTACCAAGTTCCATAAATACATCATTGACATTCAGTCCAGTCTTCGCCGACGTTTCCATAAACATAAGGCCATTAGCTTTGGCGTACGACTGTGCTTCCTGTGAATAAAAACCAATATTTTTTGTTTATATGCAAATGATAATCGTTTGTGTACTGTTTTTGTGGACTTACAGACGAAACCAACAGGATGTTGTCATTAAAATTGCTCTGGATAAGATCAGAATAACATAATTACCTACTTTTTTTCAAAATATTGTTGATTACCTGCAGACTTTTGTCTACAGTATTTACCTTACTTCTACGTGTAAATATATAGGTACTGTAGACAAAGTTTACCGGTAATTGACAATATTTTGAAACAAATTAGATAACCAGTTGTTTCAATTTTAAAACATCCAGAGCAATTACAATGACATTATTCAACGGTTGCTCTTTTACAAGAACACCAAATCCAATTGCAAGAAAAAAAATATTTATAGGAAATATTTTTATATCTTAGAAGTTATGGGCAAATTTGTATAAGATTGTTATGGAAGTTTACCAATGCGAGAAAGACTAATCGATTACACTTTGGAAGAAATCTTGGCCACGTTGCCATCAAGCCATGGACGTTTTGTCTGTCTTTCTGCGGGCGGGTTAGTGCAAGAGTGTTTGTTGGATGTAATAATAAAGCTAATGCAGTACACAGTTGAACTGATTCTTTTCTTGTGATATTAAACCTAAATAATCGTCACCGTTCCATTCTTACCTCAGAGTCAACCATTCGTTCATCTTCAAGGTCAGCCTTATTGCCAGCCAGTGCAATTATAATGAGAACACCTCTCTCAGTACTTTCTTTAAGCTCTTTCACCCAAGACTTGGCTCGCTCATATGAGTTCTGCATTCAATGGACAGAGATACTCGGATTTAGCGATTAAACATGAGAGTAATATTCGGGTAATATTGCCACGTGAATTACAAAATTATCTCTACACTGAATTCATTTTATTTCGAACTTAGAAAGTCAGATGTAATAAATAGTAAAGATATTTGTGATGAACAAACTTTACAAGGAAATCAATGGCATCGCGTCACCTGTCGATGGCCGGGTAATTCGGTACTGCTGTTAAAACTCAATATTGTAATTTATTTAATTTATTGGTTACGACCCATTAGAATATTATCTCGAACTATTTCCAATCAAGTCAGACAATTTGTGAAGTTGTGCTTGAATACCTGACACACAATTCCCGTACTTGGCTTGAATATGTACGTTGTCGTTTACTCCGGTCTTACGCCCAGAGAGTAAGTGTATATTCATTGCATTGGATCAATTGTTATAACCTGACTAAAGTGCTACAGTTTAAACCTATCAATCAATAATTTCGATCTCTCAGTGGTGATTGTAGGTAATCGTAGAATGAGAGTTCGTACATGGTGCATATATTAACGGCTCGACAAATGGTTGGTAATTATTAACATTATACACATTGTTTTTGCATGTCAACAACGTTACTATGCACTCGAGTAAAGCATTAAATTATCATACCGGTTAGGACTACCTGCATATAAATCCTTGAAAATATACAAAGATGGGACTGCAAAAAATCGCCACTGTACGAAATTCTGGGCCTAAACCATCGATTGTACCTTGATCAGATAATCTGATCCATATCCCATAATACTCTCTATTGTGGGGATGGAACAAATAATATTTGAACCATTGAAATACAACGCCTCCTCGATTTAACAACATTGTGTCTTTTTCTATTCGTAGACTGTCGACAGTTCTCGGGCCTAATAAAGACACTTTTTTTCAAACGCCGTAGGCGTGTTAACAAAATGCCGAAGGCATTTAAAGCCATAAGGTGCCATAAGGTCCGAGAGACTGTTATAGCATTCAACGCCCTCATGCGGTATTACGTAGAAATTGCCCGGTGACGTTTCTGTTGAGACTTGTCACTCAAACTACAACTACTTCCTGTTTATTGGTGACCCGTTTCGCTCATGATTGGTTGAATGGTCTCAGCAGGAACGTCACCGGGCAATTTTCAAGTAATGCCACATGAGGGCGTTACATGCTATAACAGTCTCCCGGGCCGTAAGGCTTGAAGCCTTAAGACCCTCGCTTGAAAAATGCCTTCGGAATTTCGTTAAAACGCTACTACCCCGTGTTTTGTAAATATTGTTTACGTGGCTTTATAAATGATACCTCTGTTGTCTGCTTCCGATATTCCGATCAGTTGAAGCAGAATAAGTACGTTGAATCCGTGACTGATCTGACGTAGGGGTATTTTAAAAAATACACGACTACACACATCTGCTGTTGCTTATTTTGTATTCTGTTTTCATATAATCAAAGCGAGATTCGTCTTTGATTTAGCAGTAATGATTTAATCACATTGGGCGGACATCTTAGATTTACAAAAACAAGTGCAAAGGATGACCGTGGGTCATAGCCTCGTTATGGCTCTATGCTAGTTCAAGTATCAAATGCTATACCAAATGACATGTAACATTGTTATTTCGTGTACAATAGTTTTCTATACTATCCGATGTAGTAACATTGAAGTAAACTGTTTTAGATTTGAACGTTTATTTTAGAATGTCTTGCATAATATATGTACGTTTGTCACACTCGGTTGTCACTTTGTCAAGTAAACTAATATTTATGTATAAACAGTGCATGTCTTTATATCACCAACTAGAGTTATGTATTTCAGTTGCCATGGGTGTTTTCAAGTCTACTAATTCTGATTTACCCTAAAGTCAAGAATTATAGCTACTTTGGTTTAAAGCGCGCGAGTTTTCACCTGCGCATGCGTCAGATGCCCATAGCGTGTCATTGTTTACAAACAAGTGTCTACCCATGAGCCTTTTTTAGTGCGTGTTGTTTATATCACCGAATCCACAAACACTAACAATTATATGGTTAGTTAGATCTACAATAAAGTAACTCAGATACAGGGTATGTTAGAACATCGACGAAAAACTGTCCAGCGACGAGACAGAGTTTAAAAAAATATAAACACAAATAAATACACATACATTGTCTTTCAGTGATTTGGTTCGATGTACCCCCCCCCCCCCCGCGCTGCCATATAAACCGCTACACTAGACTTTGGTCGTCCTAACTTAATAATACTACACTAATTAATAAAATACAAATTCCACAATGTTGAACAGTTCGCAAGAATCGAGCAGTGTTGTATTCATTTTCACATGGGGCACATTAGCAAGTATCATGCAGATGGGTATCAAGTGAGTGGGTGAGTGAGTCAGTGAGTGAGTGAGTGAGTGAGTGGGTGAGTGGGTGGGTGGGTGAACGAATGAATGAATTATGTACATTTACGACTATTGAAATAAAATACAACTGCTCAATAAATCATTGAAATTCTGAACTGGTTATAGTATTGACAAGAATGAACGAACAACTAAAAAACAAAATAACAAATGAATTAATTAACTAATTGAATGGTTTTCAAACAAACGAAGTTTCGGCGGCAATACAACTTTAAAATGGTGGACTCAATGCAGGTGATTATCTCATTCCATACCCATATTACGTAATCCACGTCAATACCTGAGAGGTGAGACACAGTTCAATAGTAAAATCGCCAGCCAGAAGTGTTCGTTATAAGCATGGACCTACAAACCACATTTTTTTCATGACTAGGACAGCGTTTCGTCAATTATTCAAATATGTTGGGTATTTAAACCTTTTTAACGTATGACATATGTTTTTGACATTTACGTTACACGATTTTGAAAGAAATATGCACAGTCAAATATTTTAGAAACAAATATCTACTTGGGGATTTACTGAAAAAATACACCTACAGAGACTTGATAAAGAAAATCAAAAACAAAGACAGTAAAATGTGCAAGTCGCGCAACGTGCCTGGCAAAAATATCTACAGAATTTAATGAAAAATTTTATTATAAATCACACACACCAGAGTATGGCAAATAAATACAGTAACACCAACTAAGAGCAAATCAAGTAATGTCGCAGTAGTTCTGTGATTTATATCACAGAGTATTTGATGGTCAACTAATGTTTATTTATTGAACATTTTGACTCTAAAATGTTCAAATCGCGTAACGAGCCAAGCCAAAATACCACCCCTAATTAGACGTGCTGGCGAGTATCCCATTGTCTTTTCTATGTGTTATTTCGAGTGGGTATTATTTGGAAAAATAGTTTGCCGACAACCCAAATTAGTTGATAAGTGCATTCTTACCATAATAACGGAATAGTGACTGTGGATAAATCGCCATGGTTGCACCACGGTTGTCATAGATACACGTCTGGTATTTTGGGCGCACCGTGGTTTTGAACACCGTCGCTATCGTGGTGCCGAATGGAACTATTTATCCAATTATTCAAAGATTCCATTTATTTCTCGGGTGTAGTCATTTAGCGTACGCCGAGCAATCCGATGTTGATATTCAATAAAACAAGTACGTACGATACATACAACTAATACTGCTTCATCCAGGGTAATTTTTCATATGACTGTTGGCTTGGCAGGTTGAACATCGTCGTTTAATCCAATTATTATTTCTGAACCACTCGGTGTGAAATTGTTTTATTAATGTTTTTTTTTTGTTTTTGTTTTTTTTTTCGTTTTTCAACATAGACATTGGGGATTACTTGCAATGAATCTAAATCTGGCGTGGGTTGCCCTAGGAATGCAATGACGGCATGACAAAGGGTGAATTTACAGTCAATTACACCAAGTACCACGGGATTCAATTTCATGGCGTGAACAACGGCCCTGTTTCAGTTTTATTGAATTAATCTGTTTGATTGTAGTTGTCCTTATACACGGTGACAGTTACTAGTAACTTTCACACGGCCACTATATATTTGCACGTGAAGACACTATAGTCTAGTTAACGGTATCGATCAGTTTTACTCTGTGGATCAATATAATATCTGGCAAAAGCTGTTTTTTAATTTGTTCATATTGCCAGTGTAATACTAAGGCATAATTATCTCTGTGACGCCAAATCATTGGATATTTGCATGAAAGCATTCACATCCCCGGAATGAATGAATGAGCGATGGGTTTACATGGGTGCTGTTAGCATGTGCGTAGCATGAGTATCCTGTCCAATTTGAAAACATGTTAAAAAATGACAAAAAAACGTTGCTTTTGCCCCTTTGAATGTAAAACATGTCATGGTGGGTTGGTAGTTGTTTCTGGATAAGTGAGATCGTCTCAGTGAAGTATTTCCATCGTTATATACATACTGAATAAATAGATATAAATGTGTGTAGAAAGTTATAGAAATGTTGCTCCCTCTAGGCGACAATCGTGTTTGTGTTTATATCATGGAGAAATGACTCTACAGGTGCAGTGTTTGTTTGTTTTTAAACATCTACAATTATTGGCAATGAGTAGACAACTTTAATTGGGGTGCTAGTTGAATTGATCATTTTTTTAAGGGCAATTAAATTCTTCCACAAAAAAATACTATCAATGGTTTTCTTGTCATTTTTCAAGCTTCCCTACATTGGTGATCGCAGCCTTTTGTTTCACCCTGTTAAATGTTCTTAATAGAGGTGCATTTCTATAAATCCCACTTATATATTATATATTATAAAAGAAGGCCCCGTGATATTGGAATATTGAAACATAAATCTAACCTCATACAATTTTCAAATATCTCCTGATCTCGGGCTAACGCTCTTGAGCCAGCATATCAACTTCTGGAAATCAGGTAACTTTTCAGTTCGGTGAAGAAGAATATGATGATTGTACACATTTCGTGTCAAAGTATAAAGATAACATGAAAGTATATTTGCTGGTAAATGCTATAAGAATGTCGATGGCTAAAACTGAGCCAATAGTGGCCAACATCAATCAGAATCTATGTGTGTTTAGAAAGCATGGCATTTTGTCGAAAAAGACAATTATCTGACTTATGTTTTCAGGTTTGCTAAAATTCATATAGCGGCTCGCCGTTTGGTTTATCGGGGTTTTGAAAATATTCCCTACAAAAGTGTATTTATATTTTATACGACGGTAACCACGTGTTTTCTAAAACGCGATCAGAAAGACCATGTTGAGGCCTCATGTTGAGCGTTAATGTCTCATTGACAGCACATTTTGAAAAAAACAGCTACTATTTCAGATAAAGTTGAAACAATAATTAGAAAGTCCAGATACTCTCACTCAGAATACATTCTTTACATCTGTGCCTTTTAATAATAAACAGGTAAATAGATAAATAAATAAATAAATAAATAAATAAATAAATAAATAAATAAATGATAACCGTGGATGTGTTATTATTTTTTTTGGTTTATGTTACTACGGCTCACCTATCAATTCTATGGGTCAGCCCTCTACAAAAAAAATGGTGTTTCAACAATTTCAGGCATTATTTATTCAAAAAACTTGGGCTTGATAGGTTTTGGCCATTATTGGACCGGTTATAAAATACTATCCTTTCTTCAATTTTACTATATTACTGAAATTGTGACATGTGTGTTTTCTTATTTGACTTTGGTGAATACATCGTGGAATAAAAACGATTTATTGTGACAATGAAAACAATCCGAGATATTCGATAATTCGGCTCCTTGCGGAAATGTGGGAAGGGGTGGCAGAAAACGGTCTCACTTCATGCGAAAAAAAAACACTTCTATTTGCTGGTTGTTCTCTCGCAACTTCATTAAATGTGCATATTTTCTCATTTGACTTTCGTGCAATGTATATATCGCTAGTTACTTCTTCAGAAAGTTATAGCCAATATAAAAATTAAAAACGTGTGTTTTCCTTGCCACTACAATGTCGGTCGAAGTATGGACGCCGTTAAACAACATTCAACCTACGTATAAGAGTGCTAAACAAGGCACGGAATGAAACGTGTGCTGCAATTAATACGCTTATTATCAACACGCATTGGTATATCAATAGAACGACATTCGTTAATAGTCATGTGCCTTACCTTACTAGTGATGTCATAGACGACGAGGCCAGCCTGTACGTTACGATAATACATTGGCGCTATACAATGGTATTTCTCAGCTCCAGCAGTGTCCCAAATTTGGAATTTCACTAGTCTGTCCCCAACATGTATTCTGTTGACTGTGAATTCCGCTGCGAATGAAAACGAGAACTATCTTGCTATGTGTCGATGCAAAGTGTGTGTAGAGTGAAAAAACGCGAACTGTACGGTGACGCAGTTTGCGTTACATTTGCACTACTGTGGAGTGCCAGTGTTTTAAATTACCGTGTGCGTGCCGGGTGTGGGTGAGCGTTAATTCACGACAGGGTGACATTGTCAATATTAGGTTCATTCTGCGAAACACGGCAGCAGCCGCGGCGACAAAAGCAAACCTTAAAATTAATACGCAACCCGTTATCGGGACATTATTGCATTCGTTATTATGCTGTTATTATGCCGTTTATGCTGTTATTATTAATCTTTGGCCTTTGTCAAATTCGCCAACTGGCAATCGACAAGTACAATGCGATGCAGAATAAACAGTTACCGATTTACTAAATCTAGCACGCCCATTCAATGTCACGAGATCGGATTTTCCGCAATGAAACACAAATACAACTGCGCCATTCCCGCCTTCACCTTTGTGTATGAATCATATTGTTCATATTCGCATCATTTACGCTGAATGTGGTTGACCGATGGTTGGAGTTTTGACCTAAGTTCAATACTATAGTATCGTAAAAAAAAATCGGTAGGTAGGATGAGCTATTGATCAAAACAATATCGGTTGTCCAGACCCGGGTCAGCAGTATTCCCACTAACTGTATACGCAGTTCTACGGTAACTATGATGAACGACTATGTTCGTTTTTTTAAATATGGTATTTACTCACCCCCTATGGTTGGTGGTTGGTCGTGGTACTCGCGGCACGTAAATCGCACAGATAAGCATGTTTTACCAACCGACGACTCACCCACCACCACCATTTTGAACATTTCCATTCTCTCGTTCATTGTCTCCCGTAGTCATCAAACTGTCCCTTAACCTTGAAAATGTTGATTTGAAGAAGAGCGAGTGAGTTTGTTTAGCAGTGATGAATGTAAACAACGTATGCGTTGTAGTGTTCCTGCAAAACGTTCACTTTTAACTGCAGGTGATGCACATATGGAAATGCATTATGATTACGCCATTCTGAAATAAATAAATGTTTAACGGGATGTGCAACATTGTAAAAAGATGATGAAAAAAAGCAATTTATTTCCTTGTGTAAGCAGAAATGGGCGCGAAAATGTTCCGAATTCACGACTTTAAATAATAGGCAAACAGAAGTTCGGTAATTGCACCCAGATGGGTTTATGCAATCCATGGAATGAAGGCTTGACGGCATATCACGATTAAAACACAAGCCACCAACAAAATGCAGGTGCCTAAATTTGAATTAGGCTTGTAATTTGAGATACAAGCGCATGTACATCTTGCTCTCAATATACAGTGATTAGAAAAGTTACGGTGAGTTTTGCTAATCCAGTGTTGCATAACAAACACGTGGATGTCGGTGGCCGCGTTCCCACTGCCTGCACAGATTATTCAAATTACCTATAAACATGGCAACGTATTGCTAGGCAACCTCGAAACGAGATGGTAGAAATGTTATCCATACGAGTATGTGCGTTAATTAATAAATATAAATAAACAAAAGTCGGTAAAAATATTTTTTTTAAATATTGAGCAAACCAACTGCACAGTAATGGCGTGTTGTGCGTATGAGAAAGTCATGTGATGCAGCAAAGCTTACACCATCTGTTTGAGTTCGAAGAATGCTATTATTAGAATGCAAAATATGAATATATTCAACTGTCGGTCGTTTTATAATAATGGAGATGGATGATTATCTAAACTATAGCCCCCCGATTTATGACGAATATAAGAATTCATAAACACCGTGTCTACTGCATAATAAGGCTATGGTGTGTATCATACGGGTGAATCGATCAATTTGTCAGAAAAAACAAACTTTATAGATTATCTTGCACGCTGAACAACAAATGTCGTCGATTTTACTTCAGCGAGGCAAATATTGGCACTTTAATAACGGCCGTGATCTGGGAGTTTGAACCTCATTGTTCTCCGTGCATTTGCAAAAAAACAAAACGCAGAGCTCAACACTTTCATTTGGTGTGGGCAGTATGACAACATACTAGTAGATAGATATAACAGCGTGTGCATTACCGAATATACCGGGAATCATCAAATGTAATCCGGTCGTAGCTGGCAACCGGTGCCCTTGGTAATTATTTAATATAACCAGATGTGTTGAGCAATAACCGTTCATCAGGCCATTGCTTGGAACCATTGCTCAAATTAAACAATTAACTAGGATTACGAGTATCTGGTATCAACATCTAAATGTTATATTTATCGGTTCTAGCAGCCTTCACGCATTGTCTCATCGTACTGTACGTGTACAGTTGTGTTATGTGGGAAGTCCACAATACGAGACCATTGCATTATTATATGATGATGTATAATGGAATAAGGCAAATTCATATATATTTATATATTGTATATAAATGAAAAATTACGTATAAAGAACTACATCTTAATATGAGATTCTAAAGTAACGATTTTTCTTGCAATTGCATACTCGAGGAGTAAAACTTCGGCGGTGCAATTCTGGTGCGCTTGGCAAACTGTAACACCGAATGCCACTCGACGTGGGTCCATAAACATAGGTATATACGTTCGATACGTATTATATAATACAGTCCGAGTAAAAAAACTCTTAAAGGTCAACAAAATTCAGTCAAATGTCGGCGATTCTTGCCACCTGAAGAACAGTTTTCTGCCTAGCAACGGTTCTTCCAATCAGCTTGAAGGCAACAGTTCATACCAGCTTCACAGTGTTATAAAATAGCCGAATGTTATTACTATTCTAAACCGCGTATACAGTACTAGTTTACATGGAGTGGAGATACTAGTATAATCATTGTTTATTTTTACCGTCACGGGGTGATGCTATGAATTCATCGGTTACAATAATTCGCCTTCACTGTTGGTGTACGCTGGCCACACATATCAATGTAATTGTAAACTACCCGAGTGTACATATACGGGATTCATAGCTCAGTATGAACCAATAAAACATATTGTTCGCCGCGCTCTCTATAAATACCTAACGCAGCCCAGCCCACACGGCTTATGATGATACCGGATTATCACTTCGTCATATAAAAAGCAACGTTTTTCATGAAATTCAGGTCACGGACTGCAGGAGTAACAACACATAATATTTCTGACTATGAAGAATTATATAAGCTATAAGCTTGAAATTAGCAAACAGGTCCATATCTGAATATTATTGCAATGTCATTCTAATTCAAACCACAGTAAACTGCCATCACTCGCCTAATACTGACTAGAAAGAAATACTGCGGGTGCAATTGTTAGCTTTTTGTGCGTATTCATTTATTGCGTTTTGAAAAATCATCTCGTATAATTTGTTACAAAATAAAACATTGGTTTTGCAGCTTGCAATGTATACTTCCGATGAAAACGCTAGTGCGCATGCGCTTCCAAATAGTTTCCCGCACACAAAAAGCACTGGTACGTTATTTGATAAACCATGGAGGTAAACAATTCTGTCTTTCACCTCCATGGTTAAACAGCATCGTTTGTCCAAGCTTAACGCATTTTTCAAAGAATACTGCAGTTTCATAAACTCGAGTGTAAGTGTCGTGTTGAGTTGTTATAGAACGGTGCCAATTCTAGCTGTGGTCCATAGCTCTTCTTAGTTCGGTCTTTTGTCTGTGTGATGGTATTTTGTTCATTTTTGATATATTTTGTGTCATTAAATTTGTTATTCTCAGTTATTAGGATTTTTATCGACACAGAAGAGCTATGGTTCCTCTCATGGTCCTGCGTAACACAATCGTGCGACGCCGAAATGGAATCACAAATAAAAGTCGACAAAAGCAGAATATTTTCTAGCATCACACGATCGAAGCTAACGCCAATCGAAAATACGTTTATTAAACTCTCACCAAAGCCAAGATCGTGTCAAAAACCATTAGTTTGATGTTATTTTTCCCGGGATTTAGTGCTCCGGACCACACGTAACTCCGGTGACAGCCATTTTCTTCAGGTCGAACGATAACAATGTGACGTCACTGGAGAACATGCTGTCCAAGCGCTCGGTACATTTCTTAGATAATAAAAAGTACCTAAAGTAGGTTCGGTATACTTAGTCAGACAGTCAGTTGCCAGTACATGTTTTTGTTATGCAATAAATGGACAAATAAATGTCTTTCCATGCGATGGCGATGCAATTTGGCGTGAAACGTGTTACGTAAGTCTATGGGAGGAACCATAGCTCTTTTCTGTCAATAACAGTGGCGGCGGCACAAGGGGGCAGAGGGGGTCGCCCCCTTCGAAAAAAATGTTGGGGGCGTCCCCCCTTCAAAATCAAGCTGAACCTCTTTGTGTCAGCCAAATTTGCCCCTCAATATGCAGAAAAATAGCGTTTCGGGGGGAGCATGCCTCCGGACCCCTTAGTAAGGTCGCGGGGTTGGTTAGCAGATCCCGTCCCCCATGCAAAATGTCGTGCCACCGTCTCTGAATACAAATCCTAATATTTGAAAATAACAAATTTTATGACACAAAATGTATCAGAAGTGACTAAAATATCACCACAAAGACTAAAGATCTAGACCGACACGAGAACCGCTATCGACCCACAGCTATGCGTACTGGTCATGTTGATCGGCGAATGAGCATCCAGGGAATTACTTGAAAATCCCCCATGCATTTTTAACGAATGTGTCTCAACTAATCCCCTAGTTTAGGCGAAGAGTCATCTAGCTTGTAATCGTGTAAATTATTTCTGAATAACGGTTAAAATGGTGAATTACTGTAAAACACACCAGCCGTCAAACAACGTTGGGGTTGTTGGAACTTTTTCACAATAACACCAATGTCGGATTTTTGAGCCATTTGCCATTGCTTTTCATGAAATAAAATTTTCGGCATAACTCAATAATTAGTACCTTGCATATGATGCAAATATATATATGTACTAATGTTTTCCCCAAATTATTAGGAAATTCATGCTATTTTTATGAATAATGCTTTGTCAAAAGCCCTTGTTTTTGCTTGTATTCATCCGGGTCCCCTCAATATATATTTCATATTAGGAAGCAATGCAATCGTAACAGTCGGTGATTCGTGTCTGTATCAATAATTGTTTAACCTAACAAAATAGGTCGAATGCCCACGAAAGACCCCAATACACTGCTCAGCTGTGGAAGCATCATTATTAAGGCCCATTCACCTGCATACACAGCATGATGTGAACAATACAGCTTATTATATACAATTTACACATAGCTATAAATAATGTGGGACTGGACAAATTTATGCTGGGCATTTGCTAATGTTTCAACTATCATTGCATTTTTTTTATATCGAACGGTGTTCGTGTATAATAAATGTGTATATAAATTAGGAATATTAATTTCATGTTAATTAAATTCACATTCACATTTTACCAATCACACCCCAGACTAAGCTAAAAACATAAAACGTGTGAAATTAATGTTGTGATTTGCTAAACAAAATATGATATATTATTTTAAAAGCGAATATCCTGCTGGGTAGTATTATTCTTTTAAACGAACATGCCTCTACTGTAACTGACCTTCATAAACAATATGAGAGATAGCGATGGGCACTAATTTTATATTTTGTTTATCCATATATCCGTTTAACATAGTTTAAAGCGAAGGGTTTGTTACCTGCGCATGCGTAGGAATTGAGTCCCAGGCGACGATAGCGATAATGGGTAGATGCTTGTTTGTAAACAACGACACGCTGCGGCCGTTTGCCGCACGTACAGGTGACAACTCCCCCGCTTTAACATAAACTTGAACACGGAAATCGTAATTTTTTAACGCGTATTCAAGACATCCAACAATGTCCCCAGCAGTGTTTTGCTTGTATACATTATCGCCATTCATGTACATTGAAAACATTAACAATAATGTTAGAGTAAATTCAATGTATGGACAACGAACTTACAGCGAGTGTAAACAAAATTCGTAAGAGTAACTTGTGACTTCCGTGGAAACGTCCTTATCAATATTCCAATAACTCCGATCAACTCGTTGAAGTGACCACAAATAAGATTCGTATGGATAATTTACACAATCATGCTTTTGTATCTTTACAACAATGTTGCAGTGTGAAAACAGGTACGCACGATAGAAAATAATTAATCAAGTCAAGTAGTGCCAAGGAAAGTCTCCATGACATTAGGTCATTTGATGGCGGAAATAAGTGAGTCACATTTTCGAGGGGACTTTCGTAGGGAATATGATGATGATGTAAATTAAAGATTCTGAAGACGCTTTTTTAGATACGGTATCTCACGCTAATACGACCCAACAACGCACGAATATATACTTTATAGTGATTTTTGATTCTCGGGTACAATAAATAACATTTATTGAATATTTAACTTAGAAAAACAACCCTTATAACCCGTAGGCAGGCCAGCCACACTGGTTCTTACTGCAAGAGGTAACGCCCCCCCCCTGCCAAATTATAAGGCAAATTAAAAACAAGATACAAACACGTAACGTGTTGTGTAATTACATACACATACGTAACAGCGTTGAATAAGATGTATGGAAGCAGACCCCGGAAGCAGACACAGACAAGAAACAAGATCGAACTGAACAACAAGTTGAATTACAGCAACGTAAAAACAATCACTGCACAATAACAATAACTTTATAGTACACAGTCGTGTAGTATTTGACATGAAGATATCAAAACGTATTTATTACTCCTATTATAGATTAATATTGATTATCACAACTAGCAAGTCGTACAATAAGCATTCAAATTTGCATTTGCTAATGTAGACTTTAAAAACAATATTCATTTTATAAAAGCACTATTCGTAATCAAAAATAACCCCTTTGTTTGTAGTACTGTGTTTTCCCGAACCGATGGAACATATTCTGTCACCCTCAAGCGTAAACCGCGAGCCTGACAATCAAGTCTGCTTTGGTGTCGCATTGCACTGATAAAGTCGACGCGCCCGACGTCATTGAGAAAGATTTGATTCAGTAACACATTAGCTGGTTTATGTGTGTTACAACAGTTACATATCCGTGTCAGCTCACACAAGGACAGCGCCACATTGATAATGTCACATGTATGTTTTTGTTATTACAGAATGTCACAATGTATTTCCTGATTTATTTATTATTTTGTTTTTGCTGATTGATAATAAACCACTGATAGACATGGATGTGGCTCAAAGGGATTTTAAATATTGTAATTGTAATATACAGGGTAATGTTTGTTCATTGTACAAATTTTGTTATAACAAATCATAAAATTATGTCTTAAAAATGATGTAATTGTTTATGTTCTAACAAATGCTACAATATATCAATTTTATTATGATTATCCGGGTATTAAAATATAGAACAGATTGTGACAGGACAATGGTACATCGATAATATATTGCAGACATATGTCAGCCTGCACGCCTAGTCGGTGCTGCTCTCCACCACAATATTTCACTGCATGATTCAATTATGTAATGAATATAAAATAATTCATATTTGAAACCATTGTCAGTATCAAGCAATAAACATGACAAGAATAGAGACAATCCAGATATCGAAGATTACAATAATTGAGTCAGAACAAACTCTTGACGGTTTTTGATCAGGGACTAAGTTTGAACTCACAATGTCGTACACAATCTGATTTTTTTAGTCCATGGATATCTAGTGCATACCCGGCTTTACATATTCTTACAGTGATACATAGTCTTGATTGTAATATGTATAATGATGCCGAAATATTACCGTTTAATAGCCACGCACTTCCGATGAAATGAAACAATGCTCACATCTGCAGACGCTTTAAATTTGTGTTCGCGTAATTAGGGGTGATTATTTAACTCTAGATACGTCACGCAATTCAGGGGGGCATTCAGTTATCAATTGATGCGCGCGGAAAGTTATCTGTAAACAAAAATGGATCCAATTTTAAACCTAGATTCCACCTATAAAGGTGATGATCGGCGCGTTGAGCATTCCGATTTAATGTAAACTAATATATGTATATCGATCATGCTACGGCTCAACGACCTCTACCCTGTAAAATTACGTCATATGAGACTCTTTTAGAGTCTAGTAAACGCTACCTGTGCACGTGGAGGTAAAATTTGTACCGCCCATGTTTAACGTATAAATTACTGTATTTTCAGTACATTAAACATAACCTCCCTACAGGTGAAAGTAAAAACCCGTTTTTCCAAAGTTGTGTTCCCGTGCACCTGTTCCCCTAAGGCGAAAACAAAATATGTGATGCAATAGTCGTTATACATCGATAGAGGACGCAATTTAACGTTCGCGGGGTTAGCACCAATTTGATTACATAAGCTCCCTACCTTGCGTCAAAAATAAGCTGAAAAAAATCATCTTTTCTCGTGAATTAATGTTTTATGGGGAAAATATTTGAAAACATACCCTTTATTTTATCTCAACAGTGACAATATGTAAATTAAAAATATGAAATTAAAAAAGTATTATGCTTTATATGCCAGCTTCATCATTTCTCTAATTCTGAAATACTAGAAACAGACACAAGTGTTTTCAATGTGGTTAATGCATTAACTCAAATACTTTTTATAATTACAAATACAGCATATTTTACCGGGTTTTTTTTTGCATTCTGTGCACATTTTTGTCTAAAACATCGCATTGATTGTATTTATGATGCGGGTATCGCCGATCCAATTTAATCTTTATTTTTTTTTATTGAAAAACATATAATACTTTTCGGAGTTATTTTTGTAATGTATATATCGAGTTGTAAGGTTGTACCTTATTATAATATCTTTGTCTTTAAGCTTTATATTAATAAAAAAATAATAAAATAAAATGGGAGTATTTTACAATCCAAAAGTTTTCGTTGAATGCAATACATGTATGTAAATTAGGCATATGTTATTACAGGTCACACATTACCTCACATCATCTGGGCGCTGCTATATTCATATTCGGCGCATACTGTTTACGTTTCTAACAATTTATTTGAGAGCGAGACGCCGTGACCCCATAATGACCTACATGACCCTCGTGGATCAGGTGATCATGTCACGTGATGCACAAGGGTCAACATGTAGAATGACCAGAGATACGGGAGTACGCAGGGTGATGATTTTAATCTAAGCACGCGTTGATTTGAGCGAAGTACTGCAATGGAGCTAACAGTCAACATTTTGGATAGTTACCGGGGCCGTGATAAAGTCATGCGTACAGCATGTTTCGGTGCCATGTTGGCCGCGGGTTTGGTTGAAAGGCGAAACAAGGGTATGTCGACCAGGCTGCAAGTCGTCGTCGGCAGGCTTGCAGCGGCACGGACTGTTCTCCGGTTGTTCGATGATATACCGATGTTAGCATGGACATTGCACTATGGACTCGGCAAACAGGTATGTACGTTTGCCGGCGTATGTGCTACAGTACGCCTGTTGACCCCCCCCCCCTCCCACGCAATATACCGGGGCAGCACCATCTGTACACATGTCTCTTGTTCCGGGTGCTCTGGGTAGGGTTGGGTAACGCCTACTTCCGCCATTATGGAACCTTGAGTAAACAGGCATGATTGTAGCTTGAGCTCGCTTGATTTGAATTGTGTTTTGTACAGAACTAGGTAGCAATGGCTGTTAGGGATGGGATTTGTTCAGTAGAATTGATTATCCTATTCAAATATTTATTATAAAGCTATAACGGGGAATTTTTCCAAATCAGGAGAATTCACCAGATCATAGAAACAAATATACACATCCCAGTCAAAAGACAATCACTCGATTAGACAATTATGATGAAAATCTAAAGATGCACAATTGATGAAGTGATTTTTTTTTTATTTTCAAAGAGGAAAAAATGAGTAAAAGTCTTCTGTTTGGAAGATATTCTGCCAATATTTTAAACTAATTAGTTCACAGTTTGAGTTTCTTTTTACACTCAACCCCTAACCCTAACTCTAACCCTACCCCTACCCCCACCCCAACGCTCCTTAATTTAATGGTATATGTCCATTCTACGGATGAAGGGACATGTACAATTGAATCAATTGGGGGTGAAAATAGATCGTTAGTAATATAATTGTAAATTACTATTTGCTACATTGGATACTGCATTTTAGTGAGAACTGTAGAATAATTAATTTTCATTGGTATCAAATTTCACTATATTGACTCGATAATAAGCGCATCTTCTGTATTCACTGACTTTCCAGTGAAAGAATGAATTTTATCATAATTGTATGTGGGATTTCAGTTATCAGCACAAATAGATAAATTACAGACTGCTAAACATTGTAGCCATTGTTTACTTATCTTTCAGTACACTCAAGCCAGTAACCCGGAAACAACTCTAACTATACCTGGCCAATTAACTATGCAAATCATGTTTAGGTAGTTCTTCTCTGATGAGTATCCTCAGCTAATTAGGGTGCACCTTGGTATTGAACGAGTTCTGATTCTAGAAAATGGATTTGGTCAGTTTTACACTGGTGACCGGAAATGTATCCAACCAAAATCTCACCCTACACCCTCGTCAGCACTAAGCATTATCGCGTAACTAACAGCATCCTTGCAATACTGATTAAAAATGACTTTTCTGGTTCCAAATGAATAAAGGTAAAATGCTTGGATGTTCGTGGCAATGTATATGTAAATGGAACCTAGACATCTGAAAAAATGTTGGTCAAAAGTTTTCCAGCTATTTGCATGTTATGTTTAGTGCACTCCCGAAGGAGAATACGAACAACAATGCATGACGGGATTTTTTATAGTGAAGACAATAAATAACTATAAATTTCGTCATATTTTGATTAATATAACTCGCGAACGCCGCACCTTTCAGATTTGATTTTTGGCCAACTGTGTTCAACTGTGTTCAAAAGTGTTCCCAACAATACAACTTTAATAAGTTAACTTTAAAGTTATCATCGAATATAATATTTGTAGGAAAAGGATGCCACCATAAGATGGTTGAATGTTGCCAAGAATATATGTGACCAATGCTTCTTTCCTGTTGAACACATTGCTTGGGCAGGAGAAGCAAAGATCATTGATGTCAAGTCACCAACCCCGTGGTCAGTAGCCAGTGTTATGATATGGGCAAGTTCATTGGTGCTTGGTTGTATTATGTAAGTAAATTGGCCAATGAGATATATTGATATCTTGCTTTCGACAATACATATTGGTCTTTGGCTGTATAATGTATGTGTATTCCCCAATCAGATATATTGTTATATTTGATATTCGATACACAGGTTTTGGATTCTTCACATTGGCTCTTCACTAGCTTCAATAAATAAATTGTCCATTAATTTGTGTATGTCGAACTAGTTACTTTTTAAGCTTTTCAACATTTTATTTGTGGAAGTTATTATTATATTACATGTATATATTAGTGTGGACTTTTTGTAAAGCCTTCATATAGGCTAGCACTGTACATTTTGTTTTATATACAATCAAAATATATAGTTTTTTAAATTCTTTGTTGACAAAGCGACATACTAGTAATTTACCATTGGTTTGAATGATTGTTTTCATTGACAGATCAATTAAAAAGATGCACACTCTCAAAATGAAAAAGAAAACTTTACTCGATGAACTCAGCGCTAGTAAACTAAGGTGAGTGCTTGAAAGAAAATGCTCAGGGGGGAAGTTCAGTATTTAGCAGCAACATTCAATTGACAAATTATTATTTTTATAGCCTACTTTATTGCCACTGTGTTTTAAAGATGCAAAACGGCAAAGGCATGTTTTTTATATTGTTGTTTGATACTGCGTGTTAAAGATCAAATTATATTATGTTCATCGAAAATCGAAAATGCTGTGTACTATTTGTTTGATGAAATAATATATATATATTATTAATTTTTGATCAAACAAATACTCAATGCTCTCATCAATGTAAAATATCAAACATCAACTGATAAAAGGTTTACATGTTTTCATTCATATTACAATATATTGTCTTGGGTATTTGGTTAAAATTAAATTATCATGTTTTTGTTTATTTGTCGGGCAGGAATGACAATTCAGAAGTATTAAAAGAAATTCAAGAATCAGTAAAGAAAGTACTGCTTGAAGAAAAGTTCAATAAACTTGATTTACTTGGCAGCGTGACCAACCTTCTATGTGCGGTGAATTGGTTTCCACCTGGTATACTTTGGGCTGGTAAATTCAGTATGTCTATGGTTGGTTTCTTGGCTAGTGTGTCGTCTGTTGTGGGGCTGCACAGGGTATACGTACAGACCAAGGAAAAGCTGCGATTAAAATATGCATAGTGATTATTCCGGGTTACTCTATGCAACATGAATTTAATTTTGTTAAAATGGGCGTGGCAATTCTTTGTATAAGGGTTTTTTAAAGCTATGTGTGTTTATTTGCTAGAGATAATGTCATAACATGCCACAAACAATACAGGAATATTTTTGGTCTTACAAATCATGATTTGAATGTAAAACAAGATTAGACCCTGACAGGTTTATAAAGTTAATTTTTAATAGCCTGCACCACTCTTTCTTTATTCTATTGAATAACTAAACTTATAGAAAAAAAACTAATGATGACAATTTTTTACCGGATTTATATGCATTTACAAAGTTGATTGGATTGTACATTGTGGGGATGATTTTACATCTTTCATACCTAATTTTCATTTTTTCTCCTGATGAAACAGGATCATTATGGAGATGAATGCATTTGGATATGTACATTGTGATTTGTCAACCAATTAGAGCATGTCTTACTAAAAAACATACTGTAACATGCGTTACGATTGGCTAATTGACGTGGAAATTGGATATGCAAATTTCTCAGATTAGGAGAGATTCCTTCACAACTTGTGTGCTTTCACAGCACTGCATGACATACCGGCGTTTTAATGAAACCTTCGGGATTAAGAGTTCAAACATTGAAATTCTGTCTACCCCTGGTTTGGGCAGTGTGTATATCATATTCCATACCCTAACTCATTCTGTTAGCGTGTAATACATGCTTCAAGATGGTGAATGGTTGTTGTAGTTTGCATTTGTTTTTTTAATTTTAAAAAAATGTTTAAATCTTAACGAAATACGCAGGATGGAACAATTTTCGAGTTGATTTTTAAAACAAATTGACAATTTGAAAAAAAAAATAATAAAAATATTTACAAAAAAGGATAATTTAATAATAGAAAACACATGCACCACACATTTAACAGAGAAAGACAAAACAAATACATCAACATAATCCTGAAAATTAATCTAGCTCAAAAATTAAAGTCAACTAATTATAATTAGCACATTTTTTTATCATCTACCAGAGATTTCGTTCAACTTCTTAATTGTTATTTTAAAACAGATGATTACGTAGTGCTGTTTAATCTGAGTTAGTCTCTCAGCATTTTAAAGCAATACAGTCATATTACTTTGTTTTTAGACAGAATCCGATGGCTAGTGATCAAATTGACAATGTTGCCATACTACGTTAAGCTGAACATTTTTTTCTTTGCGGCGCCACCACTGACGTTATTGTTGCATTTAAACTGATAAAAACACGTTACTGACGCCACTGTCAGACACTAGGGTAAACAACTACTGATATTGATAGTTCGCTAGCTAGTTTTATACTTCTCTGCAATTTAAAACTGCGTGCCCGAAGTATATGATTTACACATTTACTAACGAAACACGCTCAATAGTTAACAATAATATTATTTTGAGACATTGATCTAGACAACAAACTTTTTAAATCGCTTCAAATTTCAACGAGACAGAAGCAGTGGCGAAATTGTAGCAATACTAGGTTGTGAAATTGTAATACTCTGAAAATTGTGAACACAGCTCACAGCAAAGATTCAACAGATTACAAATGCAAGAACACAGCAACGAACAATTTCCAAATGCCAAACGAAATAGACGGTGGAAGCTCTCGTTTCAAAATCAAAATATTTTTCATTTTATCATTCTTTGTAGTCGTAAACACTACTTTCAAATACAAGAAAACAAAATATGCAAGTAAAAAAATTAATGTTTACGTGGTGACTGAAATCTGCTATGCTAAGACAAGCTACCGGAAACCAGCTAGAAAAAAAAAACTCAAACTATTTTCAAAGGCCACTGTCTCTATGCGGGGGAAATGGACGGCGGTGGAAATGTTGGCAACGATGTCTGAGTATATGTCTGTATTTAGTGAGTGGCGACAGCGTTTTTATCAGTATGACGCGCCATCTTTAAAAAAAAAAGTGCTCAATTGTTCATTGTTCTGATAAACAGTATGGCAACTTTTCTCATGTAATTATCGATGTGAAATCAGTGATTCCGTCGTTGTGGAAATTTTGGCAGAGAAGTAAGTAAGATATTGATCATACTGTTCGTATATGATATATTGATCACATCTTCGTCTTTGGTATGCGGAGATAGTACTTGTGTAAGACTCATTTTCTATTTTTACTGAATTTACTTCTAATTTATGCAAATATTTTTAACGTACAGTGCTGTCGGATCAGCTGAAAGGCTGTCTGTATTTCTATGTAATTAGTTTAAATATTATATAGCACTAACACACGACCAATTAGTTTTTGTGCATACTAATTAGCTAATTTACATGACAGATACATATGTCAGAATGTTCTTTATGCATATTGTCATCAAATGTTTCAAATGAACCTGAACTAAATGTATAGCTATTTAATCTCAATCTGTATAGTAAACAATACAGTTAATATTTCACATTATATAGCACCAACACACGACCAATAAGTTTTTGTGCATACTAATTAGCTAATTTACATGACATACATATGTCAGAGTGTTCTTTATGCATATTGTCATCAAATGTTTCAAATGAACCTGAACTAAATGTATAGCTTTTTAATCTCAATCTGTATAGTAAACAATAAAGTCAATATGTCATTGACTTTATACCGTTAAACAAGACAGAACTATGTTGTTAGCATAACATGTTCTTGCTTTTTAATCTATATATTTTGCGTAAAAACTATTCTTGCAGCAACATATTATGCTAGGTGGAATACTTGTACGAAATTAAAATGAAGCTAAAAGTAAATATGTGTTCTAACATAAATCATTCTTCTAACTGTCTAGGAGCTATTTTAAACTACATAACTGGAACATCATTGTATTTTACCCTATGTAAATTCATGTGGCAAATGTATTAGACTGGCCCAGTACTAATTCTGTGTGGACCCAAATGTATAACTAGACTTTTTTTCCTAAAAATGAACAATGTACCGGTTTATTTGGAGGAACCGATTAACTAACATTCAGCATGCTATGGTATAGGGTGAATATTCATGTAACTAAAGGGATATATTAATTAAACTTATGATAAGTCACCATGATCAGAAATTCAGAAGAATGTTGGACATTTACAATGATTATATGCAAAATTACTAACATTATATATGCAAAATAGTGGTTGTTTATACTTTGTGTATTTTTTACAAAATTAAATAATACAAATGGAAAAATTATAATAAAATATTTGTGTCAGTTTTTTTTTTTTTAATTAGTGCTTTACATGTGCATCTTTTAATTGTTGGTTGCCACCGAGTATTTAATACACGGAGCGGCATACCTTCACATATTTATTGCACTTGAACTTTGAATTTGTAATACGTACCCAGTCTCGAACTTGAAGCATCGTCACCAACTGTAGTAATCACTAGAGGAACTGTACTATGCTCATTTGACCTTTTTATCTTTCAAAGCGGGGAGTCGTCACCTGCGCATGCGTCCGATAGCCATAGCGTGTCAGTGTTTACAAACAAGAGTCTACCCATGAGCCTTTGCGTTTTCAGTGTGTGTTTTTATCATCGCTTGGGGCTTGATTCCCGCGCGTGCGCAGGTGACGACCCTCCCGCTTTAAATTGTTAGTTTACAATCTTCAATCGGGGGTTCTCTCTGTAGTTAGCTGTGCGACAGTTGTGACCTTGATAATGTTCGCAGTCATAAAATAAAAGGGTTCAGAACCAGGGTTAACATTTCTGTATTGCGGCGTGGATTTAGCATACTACTCGGAGAGATCACATGATTTGTGCATCTTTTATTTATGTATATTACGTAACGATGGTTTTAGGATAGCGTGCGCCTCTTCCAGCTCCGTCACTGCTACAGTGTGTTCGGTAGTAATGTTTAGCATAGCACATATAGGATGTCCCAAAGTAAACAAGTTGTAAAATTTTTTTGCATACTGACACACTATCTTCTGAGCTATATGAAGATTTTCATTTCTCTGCATTCAAAAGAATGAGCGATTTTTGATACTTTGCCTTCATTCAGATATTTCGACCACCTTGAAGGATCCTTGGAAGGTACATTTGCAAAATATTTGAAGACAATTATTATAACTAGTACACTTGTGGAGACAAGTAAGGGCGGTGCGAAAGGACAATTTATGCACTAGAATATTTCAGAATCCGGAGACAAAGTGTGCTTTCTTTTTGTTTTATTCTCAACTTGAAGGTGATCGCTGTAGTATCGTACACATCTACTGATTTTCAATTGTATGTGTCACATGTTCCTTTCCGTGGCCCCGAGAATAAGGCACAATTCTCATAAGCAGCGCCCTCTAGTGACAGAACGCTTATGTAGTGTCAAAATGACTTAAATGTAATTCAAATCGACAGCTATGTCTGGTTGTGGAGTCGTTCGTCGTCTGTAATGACGTAAAATCTCTCAAAATCATAATTTTCATTGATGGACATCTACAGATCAAAACGATATAGAGGGTCCTTCGTCTCACCCTTTTTACGCCATAGAAGCTTTTCGTCGCTTGGGGGCGCGATTACAGGAAAGGTGTATTCAACACAATATTCTCTGGTACTGTACTTGAATAAATCTGATAACCTGTAATTTACATATATTCCGCTTGAGGAGTCACAATAAACATGTGCCAACACGCATATTAACAATAAATATTTACTGGTCCAGATTGCCATGAATAATCCGCGTATAAAGTACATATGCATCAAAAAGTAGGTCGTATAATATGATGGATTGCGTGTATTCACCATACAGACATTATTACAAATGAATAGAAGGTGGACTATCACCAGCAGGTTTTGTAAAACGTCTAAAACAATGATTTCATTTCGTTGACGTGTTTTGCGGTTCTTGTAGAGCGGTGGTAGTCGCGGCAGGTCCTGTTCGATATGATGGAACTCCCCGGTGGGACTCATAGCGACGTATCCTTGCGGGCGGACATCCGAGCACAAAGGCCGAAAACTCTCAGAAAACGGTACTTTGGGATGGTTGTTGAGACTCTCCTGAACAGTGTAACAAGATTAGCCCTGCGTGTGTAACATATCTAAATTCGGTTGATCAGGATTACTTCAAAGTTGAGTTTGTGTTGTTTTCTCGAATTTTCACCGGCTCGACCGGCGTTCCACAGCAGTGCGTACAAAACTCGTAGACATGGTACAGTGCATTCTCCTTCCCAGAGTTTCTTGCGGTTAGATTACCGAAAGTATTCGGAGAAATAGAACTCTGCCTGGGAGATTGGCATCCTGCGTAACAAGGGTCACGCGCCATCCTCCGATGGTAGAGAATGGGAGATTGGGTACAGTGGTGCGCGTCTTAGCAACGTGGAACGTCTGGTGACGTAACTCCGCCCGACCATACACCACGTCTAAAATACATCGTTTGTTTACATGAAATTCGAACACGCGCTGCGCAACGACCACCGCCCTTTAAAGAACAACCAACACATTGTACGTCCGTATTTTCCTACCTAATATAGTTCGGTTACGTGAAAATAATCTCATAAGACTTTTAGAATTGATCGTTTTTCGTTCATTTTGAGATTCCGCGTTATGCGTGAAATCGCATAGCGTCGTAGTGGCGACAAACATAGCGTGGGATTTGACAAACGGGAAAGTATTTGGGGGATATTTCCATGCTTAATAATGTGCTGTACACATTTGATGATAGGCAATTTGGATGAAATAAGGGTATTCAAACGCAATATTCCCCTTTCAAAAATCGGCATTTCGATGTGAGCTACGAAATAAGGAAATTCGAGTTCAAAATCAACTTGAAATCGTTCAATTTTGAGGGCATGCATTCGGCGCGCGTCTTTCACGCAACTCGCGAGATCTCGCAGTTGAACGGAAAATCCAGTATTGTATATTCCACATTAACATCAACAAATGCATCGTGTTTTTATCGTGTCTCCACGCCATGATTGAACTTGGTGCTGCAACCTAAAACATGTCATTATATTATCCATTTTATTCAACGCGATATTATTAGTTCTAGCCTTTTTTAAATTCAATATACTTAAACTATAATGTACTCCCCGGTGGCTCGCAATGAACTCAACATTCTATTCCTATACATGTACGAGGCCTTGATGCTCAATAATGCAATACATTTTCGCGAATAATCTGTGGCAATGACGTCATAAAATTCGCTGGTATTGACAATGCTCTAATATACTTATATATAATGTAGTGGGAGTACAATTTATTACAAAATGAAAGTACCTGTATATTTCCATCTATGAGTAGACTTCTATATATATACTCAAACTCTAAATGATGTGAATAAAAAATTGTTTGTCATTCAATCTGTGTTAAAATTACTAATACATGTAATCCACGCGCATTAAAGGGAAAGTCAAGGCTAACAACATAATACTCCCCCATGAAAGAGCTCGGCAAATGTAAGAACATGCAATTTACATTTTTTTATATCACTTCTCATTCTCTTGATATTCAATTTTTCATCAATTTATGTAGACCTACATGTTGATTCTTCAGCAAAGGATTATGGGTAAAGTGTGACATCATAGAATCTTTTGCTAAGTCCAGCTATGGGTGACTTCTCACGACTTGAGGAATTGTCAAAGTCACGTTTTACAGCAACGACGTTTATGTGTTGACTGGTCGGCAGGTAACTTGCTACCAATTTTAAGTGTATCAGGATCTCCTTTTTCATTCTCTAGAAGTTTCATGTTTTCTTCGTGAAGTTTTATTGCTGGAATATGAAAGTAAAGTTTAGTATAACTAGTATCTGTTTATTTTATATCCAAGGAAAGGGTTGTCCCCGTAGAGCTCACTTTATTCGAACATATTTGTTTTGAGTGTGCTGCCAAATGAGTTTATATTTTCATGAATTTATAGAAAATCTCTAACATTGGGCCCAGGACTATATTGAAAAGTAGTCCAACTCTTGACGTCACATCACCGTCCGGTGTACAGCAAACTCTCATAACGTGACTGTGTTATTTCTACTTTTACCGATGGTGGCAGTAAACTGGGAGTATGACGCCACCTAGTGTCTGTACTGTGGCATTTGCTTATATTGCTAGCGGTGAGCCCGCACAAAATATAGCATGCCTCAAAAACAAACGAACACAAGATTTTGACTGAAACTCGATTTCTCGTCAAATTGTTCTTGACCATCTGAGCATGACCATCTGTAGACGTTGATTAAACAAAATCGACGAAGATTTGAAAGTTAGAGCCATAGTTTGTGGGATTCTCATGGTTAAAATCGGGCATTTCTACAGTTGGTGAATACACTTACCTAATGTAGAAAAGAGGTCATCGACATTCAAAGCGGTTTTTGCAGAGGTTTCTATAAAAGTGATACTGTTGTCATTGGCGTATGCTTGGGCATCCTGTAAAACAAAGACGATATTTAACACATGCAATAACACTAATGCGAAAAATAAAGATAAGTGGAATGCATACACCGTCAATCAAATTTCAGGAACGATTTTTACTTTTGATATTGTGTGCCAATTTATTTTCAGTGTTAAATCTCAGTCCCTCGCGTTAGGAGGGACAGTGCCTAAATCGTGACTGGGGGATGAGTTGCGCCCTCACCTACAGCGGCCGCCCGGAGACGCAACACACACAATTTCTCTGGATCAGCAGAAAGGCCTACGATATATAATTGTGTGTAATTGTGTTGTAGCAAACATCTCGTTATCAGCCAAATGGCAGTTGGACAGATCTAAATGTGCAAATAGTACATAGCTGTACACAGTTGTCGGTGAAATCGATGACGTCATGGAACTACGCGTCCACTGATGGAAATTTACACAATAAAACACTTTCCCGAAAGTAGCAAAACTTGGGTGCAAAAATATTTCTGCTTTGTCATGGCAGAAAATATAAACATGTTACTTTGCTGATAGTCGGTAGAAAGGAATTTTATTTTTGTAATGTTGGTTAGTACACCCAGAAGCACAATATCACGCATGCAAGTTTGAGTTACACACCAAAACGCGCGCATGCGAAACGCCGTATCTGCGACTTCCGGGAAGGTCGTCTATGTTAGTCACCCTGTGGTGGGGCACTACGCTACCACACTTACTTCACAGGACACTTTTCTCGTGTCTTCCAGATCGGCTTTATTACCAGCCAAAATTATTGCAATATTGGGAGTGGCTTGTCTGTGTAGTTCCCTCACCCATGAGTTGACTCGCAAAAATGTAGTCTAAAAAGTAAATCAGAAATATCATATAAAAATAAAATTCCAGTACTCCAGGGTGTTAAACAATTCATATATACCTCGACTATAATTCGTAAATATGCTATAGAAAAAAATAAAATTGTCTACGTTGTCTATATTGATTGACTATCGTCAAAATCTGGAAAAATAATAAAATAATATTCTTTTTTTTAAGTCAAGCACAGGATTCATCTTTAGTGATTATAGCAAGTTACGATATTCGTTGATAATGTGAGACACTTTCGTTTTATTTCACTCTAGTACTATTCTACAAAATGTTCTCAATGTGTTTTCCCAGCGACAAGTTACCTAATTAGCAACGAGGTTCGTAATTACGTGAGTTGTGTATGTATATATGTAGGTTGTGTTTCTAAGTTTCATTGACCATTAACAAGAAATGCTGCAATAAAACAGGCAAAATAAAGTTGTCGATTGAACGACGGCTAATACAGAAGCCTAACGTTGAAACTCTGGGTAGAACATCTCCCTCTAGTGCAAATGCCCACTGCTACATAACTATCTTGTCTATAACGCCCTCTAGTGGGGGAAGCGTTTACGTGAAAGAATGAAGGCTGTTGACCTCGATATTCGTTTTATTTTCACTTTTTCATCAAATAACAATATTTTTGAGAAATTCACCACATTAAAAATTACGAATATTATAGTTGTCGCTTAGAACGAAATGTCCTTCGCCATTACGCGATTTTGACATCAGAGAAGCGATTCTCGTAGAAAATATTTTAATTCAAGAAAATTCTATCTAGTCCAAATATGGTAAAGTATACCGATATATCGGCACAGAACGTAACATGGACAGTGCGACGTCATTCCTACCTGCTGTGTGATGTCATAAACGACGATGGCGGCATGCGCCCCTCTGTAGTACATTGACGCTAAACTGTGATACTTTTCAGTTCCCGCAGTGTCCCATATTTGTAATTCTATAAGTGCATTTTCTACATGAAGTGTTTTGGACGTGAACGCAGCTAGGGTTGGAATAATATGAAATATTATAAATTATTGGACGTAACTCAGTGAAGTTTAAGACACACAGACTGCAATGAATTGAAATCAATCGGTGAAAATGAATTAACAATATTAAAAAAAAATAATAATCGTCAACAATAATCATGATTTTTTTTTAGAAAATTCGTCATAAATCGCAAGACAATGTTCATTGGTTTATTATATCAAATAATGTATCCATGAAATAACATTCTTTTGTGTGTTACTGTGACGTATTTGTTTTTTTTAAAAATCCATAACACAATGTTAAAGACAAAAAGTTTTTTTTTTTTTTTTTTTTTTTGACCCCGGTTTTTTTAATATATGATTTTTTATCCTACGACACCAGCTTACAATTTGAGATATGGCATAACATCTCTGACAAATGAATCTATGATAACAACGCTTATGATATATATAAAATGACCGCTATCCACTAAAAAAACAACCAGCATTTTCGAGAAAATTACCTGGTGACCCCCAACTTTGGAAGATCAATATCTTTATATTGCCCAGGAGTACAATTTATTGCAGAATGAATTATAAATTTGTATTTGCATTTACCAGTAGGCTTCTGTTACGTGGGACAAATGTATTTTGATGACACATTTTATTTATAGGATCTTTTTCTTTGATAACATTGATTTGATTTTTTAACTATTTCTAAAACTGGACATATGATCACCAGGACTGTTTTTTTTATAAATGATATTTTCTTTGTGGTGACCCCAAATCAGTGGCGGTGGCACATGGGCACAAGTAGTTTCGCATTAACTTTAAGCTGTTGATTTCAACAGGAACGGGGGCTCACCTCCAATGGTTGTCTGCATATCTTTATCGAATTCTCCTCTGACATACTGCATAGCCAGACTTGACTTGCCGACACCTGCTTCACCCACCAGTACTAGCTTATACTGGAACCGTTGAGGTCGCTTGTCATAGCGCTGCGTGGAACCATTCCTTGACATTTGTTTGTTTTTCTTGTTTGTAGTGAGTACTTGAAAAAAAAGAACATGACACCATACTATATAATTAGACATGTGAGTCATTGAAACACCGATCAATAATGGTCAATAAATTTTATCTGAATTTTAACTTCTGATAAGGAAATAAGGTACATCCAAATCTGGTATCATATAAAATATCAGGATGTGTAACTAAATAGCGACATTTGCTGAAAATGCCATGTTTTGTTTGTTTTTTCGATTTCTCTGCGTAAAATGTGAAATTTGAGTGTTTGTATTCTTGTATACAAACGTTTGATTCCCTTATCTTGTATTTACTGTAATATACAAAATATATTCACCCCCAGGTGACTAAGGCATTTCACTCCAATATGGTAGTGGCAATGCCAGTGACGTGTCAGTACTCTTAGGTCGTCGCGCTCATGGTCATATTACCCGTCCACCATTATGATCGCCCATTATTGAAAAACAAAAACTGCAAACAATTCCATTGTAGATATACCGAATCCCATGACAACCCGTGTTTATAACTGAATGATTCACGGCATGCACGTCGCAAAATTTTGTACCGATACCGCCCTAAACTGAACAGCGGTAATAATGTCCATTCAGGCCACCCATATCGCCCCGGTGACCCCACGGAGCTTTTCTGTGACTAGATACCAGCCCCCGCTCATAGGGACTGCGTACAGTTGATCATAGTTCCTGGGCTCCCAGTGACCCAACCCAACACCAATAATATAAAAACAATGCCAATATGAACCCGTTATGCAAATTGCTATGAAAGGGTCAACGCGGTTTCCACCGTGGTCGATTCAAGGCCGAGTTTTGTTGTTGGTGCTCACAGGCCGGTAGTTTTCAAACCCTTCGGATATGACGTCATTTCTGGGCAATATGGGAGTCCCGAACATGTAGTAACAGCAACGCGGTCCGGACGTTGCGAAGACTGCGATGTTTTAGACACAACAGGTCCGGGCAACAGGTTAACGTCAGTGACTACCGTACGATGTAATAATTCGGGCTTATGTGACAATTTGAAGGTTTAGCAGGCGTAAAGATTCATATATATCCAATGATGACGGGTGTACTCACCACTGAAACCGCTACGGTGGTCGTCAGGCTATTATGGCCTGCTCAATACATCGTCACATGTATGGGCAGAGTCACAAACAATTAGTCAACCAGGAAGTCAACGAGGGATGTGCAAATAAAAACAGGGGAGGGAACGTTCACATATTTAGTCGTGAATAAAACAAAAATAAAACAATACTAATAATAACAAAACAGTTTATTGAAATTGATAGAACTCGGGTGCTGTTGTGTTTTCTGAGTTCAGCTCCTTTTTAGTCACATCCAGGTGACAGAGCTTGGGCGACAACCTCCTGGCGCGCACCCCCGATTTCCCATTGTTATGTATCTGACATCACCTGTCATATTTTTTACTGCTATTGCGCCGTCCCTGACTGTCGCCGAAACTAGTTAACAGCATTCACTTCACGAAGTGAATATATAATCACGGGTATAATGGTTATTTTTCGGAAACCTGATTCAGTTAGTTCTCAGAATCAGATATCGATCTGTGGTTGTATCAACAACGGTGTTTGCACTATCGTCGACAAGCCGACTGCTCATGACCTCAAGGTGATTCACAGGAAATCACGTGACACCCCGGACCCACAAACCGTATACTAGTACTGTAAATGCATTAATTATTCACTGGGTTTTAATTTTGCTATTTTTGATAATAAGTAGAAATCGCCAAGTTCATTGTTTTTTAAATTAAAACCCAGTGAATTAGCTAAAAATATCAAAATTGTGGAATTAAATGCCAGTAAAAATTAATGGTCCAACCGTGGAGGTAACAGTAATACCTTTTACAGGCTACTCAAAAGAAAAAGTGGCGTGATTTTCTTTGCTTTACTTCTCAGGCTGACAACAACGACGAAAGTTAGTTACATGATACAACTGGTGTCCATGACATACATGACGCTACTAATGACGCCATGTACCAGCTATCTTGGTCATATGGTCTGCCTCTTCTTGGATGTGGCACGTTTCTTTCCATCTTGAGTTTAGCCTGCTTATCTGCTCCACACATGAACTTCCTCTGCATTGTCATTTTCTTCAAACCCAAAATATCAAGCGTACGATGCAAGCAAGCAATACATACCTATTGTACATATCATGGAAATTAGTGTTAATTTGTGTGTACTATATATCTTTATGAAAATAAAAAAAAATATTAAATTAAATTAAATTAAAAGGTTCATACATTCGATTAGAACTGATTTTTTTAATTTTGCAAAGTGCACCTTTTAAAAGCTGTGTTGAAAGCTCACATGCCAAAACTACTTTGACACGGTGATGAATAGTGCTTTACTTTAAACGCGCATGAGGCCGTGACTTGTATCCCTAACTCCTTCACCATAATCAATAGCAAAATGAAATAACATTCGTGTTAAACTTTAACACATGCGTCTTAAGCCTGTAGGTCCCATGTTAAATTAAACTTGTTGGAGTAGGAAATTTGTCTACAAAAATGTATGAATATTGTACTTACCTCTATTAATTAATAGTATGTAGTACACTTGTTACACATTTCGAATTCTACTACGCTATGACGTCAGAACTGCGAATCTGTAAGTACGTTTTCCCTCCTAAATATTTATTCACTTTGTAACCCGCATATAGTTTATAGCGCTAGTCTGTTGGCATGCTTTACTTACTTGATGGACATTCTCATGTTTGATCTGGTGAGTAAGTATTTTCCACCCTACGACATGAATATAGATCGCATACCCCTCGATGACAATGTAAAAACATGAAAAAAAGAACTATTTTACACATATTCTGCATTTTGAGGGGCAAATCTCGCTGACATAAAGGGTTTCAATTTGGCTGGGGTGGGGACTGCCCTGTCTTTCCCTTCCCCGTGCCCCCGCCACTGGTCAGAAAAAAAAGTTGTAATGACTTGAAAAAAAAAATTAAATTACATACCACATATTCAGATAAAATTTGAGTATACAAACTGAAATAAAATAGGGTAATTTGAGAATTGGTATATATAGCTCGTATAACTGCTGCCGGATCTCGCAATATGACAAAGTTGCTGGAGTTCGTTCGCACTGGTTGGTTCAATGACTTTGGCAAGTCGTAAGAACACCTCGCTCGATAGTTCACTTTGAATCAAAGTTGACAGGAGAGTCGAAATCTAATAAAAAGGCGAAAACAAAATTAGCGTAAAAACACAGGGATCCCAGAAACTATAATCAACTGTACGCAGTCCCTATGAGCGCGGGGGGGGGGGTCTGAACAGGTCACGCCTCCAACTGTGCCACGCGTTCGGGCCAACCGTTAATTATTCATAAATAGAGTCAATTTGTGTAGTTTTCTTGATTCATTCTGCAGATATCGGTAAAATATAGGTAAAGCTTTGGCGAAATTTGAAATAGCAACTAATAATCTTCAACCTGGTAGATTTTGTAGATTTTTTTTTCTGTTTGTCTGTTTTTTCCAGTTTAAAAAATATGAGCTCGCTGGAACCTTCACCCCTTGTCTATTTCTTACACAAGATACCAGCCGAACCCCCCCCCCCCCCGGGACTGCATATAGTTGATAATAGTTCCTGAGCTCCCTGTGGTAAAAAGCGAAGCGTGTACCGCTTCAACTCATAATCTTCAATGTAAAATATGGCAATACGTTCGTGTCATAAGAATACTACCAGGATCGTAGTACCAGCAGTTTTATGCACATGTACTAATTTATTTACACATTGATATGTATATGGTTAAAGCGCGGTAGTCGTCGCGCTGCGCATGTGCGAGATATATGGGTCTCATATAAACAAAGATGGCGACTTTGATTGTTGCGCAAATCAACGAGTACGAACTGGAACGTTTCCAAGCTTTAATTAAGTAATTTTCATATTATTGGAAGGCATCGAAGGAGTCACCTGCGGTAATCAGTGCAAGTGGCGCCCAGGTCAGACCTCATACTTGTGATTTCCATTTGAAGAGCGCATTGGATTGTGGGAAAATCAATGTTTATCAACACAGTACAAATGTGGCACATTCGCAGCGCGACGACTCCGCGCTTTAAGTATGTATTATGTTTACAGTTTCAAAATGTACTTCAGTGTTAGTTGTTTTCAGGGACGCGTTACGAGAAGGGATATTGGTTGGCTTGATGTGGGGAGGTATCGACGCTGGTCCTCACTGGGACATCGACTACAATTCCGTGAATAGGTTTTAACCAATTCTTTATTTATAACCTTGCCTTAAATCAAATAAGAATGGTTCGCTGGTTTTCATCTCAAAACTTTTAAAATGTACATATTTATTATTTTTACTGATGGGTTTTTACTTCACACTAGCATTTAGACTGAAGTGCAGGTGTATTGCCATTTCATGACAACAATTCCAAATATTCCCCTTATTTGTTATCATTTTAACGATTTTTGTTCGATGACTACTCTTGATAGAGAATTTGGAACTCAGAAATATGAGGATGTATGCCCCTTATGGATGTGTGTGTGTGTGTGGGGGGGGGGGTCATGTACAGGATTATATTTTAAGACTCTGTCATCGAAAACAATAATGTACAATCTATTATGAAATATTGTTGTTGTGTAATATTGTATGTTTAATACAATAGGTTTTCAGGCCTAACAACCAGTTCAATCATTCAAATTGTATTGGCAACTTGTGCGTACACAAACTGTAGTTGAGAGCAATTGGCAGATATTTATAAATGTAACGACATAGTTTTTTTTTTATGAGTCAGTTCTAATTCTCAGTGTGCGTGTGTTAGTAAAAAGTAAACTTTAAAAATCAAACAATATGAAATATGACAAAAATTTTCAATTTGGTGGGAAACAGCTCGTATCATACAAAACAAGTGGCAAAAAAGCAATATCTGCATAAAGGGGTATATATTGTTCATAAAATGTTAAGACAGTGGTTTCAATTTTCGTGTTTTTTTTTGTTTTTTTTGAAAGGGAGGGCTTCCGAAGATGGGGATTCCGCGAGTCTTCGTCGAATACATTAGCTTATATTCTCATGCTGTGTATTCCAAAAAGTTGCTTGTCGTGAGTATAAATGTGACAAACTTCGAGTTATAATTCCTATGGCATTAAATCGCTTATATACATTGTAAACTTTGCCCTTTGCTTGCTATACATTATTTAATCACTAACCGAGAACAGAGCCTTGGGGGCGTCACCTGTGCACGCGCGGAAATTGAGTCCCAAGCGATGATAACAACACGCTAAGAACGTAAAGGTTCATGGCTTGTTTGTAAACAATGACACGCTATGGTATTATGACGCATGCGTATGTGACGAGTCCCCCGCTTTAAGTTATGATTGCTAATGTATACATAGTAAACAAAGCAGGGTGGGGGTCCATTTACAGTTATAAATCACAATTATCAGATTTGAGGTTTTTGTGTTTCCCG